GCAGGCGGAGCCGTTGCGCTACTCCCGTGGCCGGCCTCCCGCTTCGGAGAGTGCTGGCGGCGAGCGAGGGCGGCTTCCTGGAGGAGGTGGTGGCGGGCCCAGGGTTCGGAGGCTGGAGTTGGGGCGCAGCCCGGCTGGGGCGCTGGTCACTCGTCAGTAACCCCGCGCAGCCGTATTAGGCCGGCTTGGGTCTCTAGGCAGCCCCTTTCCCTCCTCGATGTCCCAGGAGGTTAGGGGAGGGACGCGCGACCTTCGACTGGGGCTTGGGTGCCAAGAGGCGGAGGATGTCTACTCATTCTCTTAACCTGTCGTCATTGAAGATCCAGCCCACTAGTCCCACATCTGACCCATAGAAGGATATCTACACCCACCTTTCCCCCCGCCCACACACTCACGTACCCAAACCCTGGGGAACACAGACGTCACTATCTGTTCTGCTACTGTCTCAAGCCAGGCTTGAGGCTGCCTGGGGTTGTGATCCATGATTCATCCCCACCTTTATCTCAGTTTTGATAACTTTATTTTGGATGGAAAAACAGCCCAGAATCCACTGGTGGGTCTGTGGGAAACTGGGCAGAAAGTCTTTTCTCTGGCTCAGCGCTGATGAGTAAGTGGACCTGGGAAGGAAGGGGGATAATGTCTGTTTCAGTCTCAAACTGGATGCCCGCCCTGCCTTGGCTCTGGGGCAGGGTTGCTGCTGAAAGGGTAATGTGACATCTGAATACCGTTTTCACCCTAGCTTTTGCAGGCCCCTCTCTACATGGTACAGCAGCTGGAGAGAGGAATCTCTCCAGATGCAGAAAAAGAAGAAGAAAAAAAAACCCAAAACCCTATGCAGTGAAAAGAAACAGGTTCAGAGGAGGGTGGGAACTGGCAGGTGCCAGATGGGGTGCCTTAACTTCAGGACCTTGCCTGGGCAGTGGTAGCACCTGGGCTGGGCCTGTTTTCAGCCACAGAGCCTGGTCCTCCTGCTGCTTGGTTGTCTGGCTCCTCCTTTTCTGCCTTCGTCTTCTACCTCCTACGTCTCGGCTGGTGACTAAGCAGCCAGTGAGAGTGAAGGAAAAGTGAGCACCCTGCTCAGAGTGCCAGCCCTGTGGGCTGGAGCCATGGCTCTTCTCCAGACTGATGATGGAGACTGGTCCCAGGTCATGGCTGCCTTGACCTGGCACCTCCTCAGTGAGGCTACTCTTTTTGTGGGTCTGTATGGCAAGCATCTAGGAGTCTCAGCCAGAATTGGTTGCTGCTACTTGCATTGTTTTTTCCACCTTCTGAATAGTCTGAGAGTACTCAGGGCTATACCAGGTGATGGTGGGATATTGCTTTGTAGGGTTAGAAGTGTCCCAGGTTGTCGAGCCCTGGCTGTAATCAAGGAGCAAATTGTTGGTCCTTCGTCGTAATCACTGGTCACCTTCTCGTTAGGCTGTCAGTTCCTTGCTGGAGAATTTGGCCACAAAGAGTTGCCAAGATAGCTGGGCCAGGAAGAAAGCGCCGTAGCCCTGACCCAGACGCCGTTGCCGACCCCGGGGCACTCTGGCTGTCGACCAAGCGGCTCAAGATGTCTGGTGGGGCCAGCGCCACAGGCCCAAGGAGAGGACCCCCAGGACTGGAGGAGGCTACCAGTAAGAAGAAGCAGAAGGATCGAGCAAACCAGGAGAGCAAGGATGGAGATCCTAGGAGAGGTGGTAGTGGCATTCCCAGAGTGCTTGTGGCCTTCTCCTCCTTTCCTGTTGAGTATACAGACTGGGGGTTGGGAGATGACTTTTTTTGCTGTTCCTTCCATCCTGGTCTGATGCTGAGAGGACCTGTGCAGGCTAGGTAGAGCCTCAGCTTTGAGGTCGGGGTACTTGGCTGAAAAGCTAAAAGTGGTGCTTGGTGGAGTGGTGGGGTCTTGGAGGCTGCCTGCCCATCATCGTTTCCCTGTTCTTTCCTTTGTTGTCAGCTTCAGCATCTGCTCCTCGGGAGGAACAAACCAAAGAAGGTGAGTAATGAATAGGCCTTTTGGATGCTAGACTACTAGAAGAGAGGATGGGGCACTGGGGATAAAGCCCTTATCTAGAACAGCCCATTAGGGCTGGGTGTCTGTTACCTGCTTATCCCCATCAGAATATCACAGAGACCCTCACAGTCTCTTTGGCACTCCTATACAGAATTGTTACTCGATTGGAGGCAGAGTGCTGATGAGGTAATTGTCAAGCTGCGTGTGGGAGCTGGTCCCCTGCGACTGGAGGAGGTAGATGCTGCTTTCACAGACACGGACTGTGTAGTGCGGCTTCCAGGTATGTCCATCTGCTCCGAGCTTAGCAGTATATTTGATTCCTTTGATATCCCCTACCCTTGCTCACTGCTCCCACTCTGTCACCAGGTGGTCGGCAATGGGGTGGTGTTTTCTATGCTGAGATAGAAAGTTCCTGCACTAAAGTGCAGGCTCGCAAAGGCGGCCTCTTGCAACTGTCACTGCCCAAGAAGGTGCCTCTGCTCACGTGGCCCTCTCTCCTGGTAAGTTCCAGAGCAGAGTAGGGTAGGGATACCCAGTGTAGATGACAGGGCCTAACTGCTGTATCTTTGGCAGAAGAAACCTCTAGGGACCCAGGAGTTGGTGCCAGGGCTGCGGTGCCAGGAGAATGGGCAGGAGCCATCTCCCATTTCCCTGGAGCCAGGCCCTGAGCCCCGCCGGGTTAAGCAGGAGGCTCGGAACCAGAAGCGGGCCCAGGGCCGAGGTGAGGTAGGCGCAGGGGCTGGCCCTGGGGCCCAGGCAGGACCCAGTGCCAAGAGGGCTGTGCATCTCCGCAGAGGGCCAGAGGGGGAAGGATCCAGAGATGGCCCTGGGCCCCGGGGCGATGCCCCACCCTTCCTCGCTGAGCCGGCCACCCAGGTGAGAATGGGGTGCCTGCTTGGGAGTTGGGAGGTGAGGAAGAAGGGTGTGAACTGCAGTGGGGGGCCTCCTGCCAGACTCAGTGCTGATCCTGCCCACAATCTTGCCATGAATAGGCTGAGGCTGAGGAACAGCTCCGTGTACCACCACTGAACCCCCAGACCTGCCTCCTGGGCTCAGAGGAGAATCTAGCGCTTTTAACAGGAGAGAAGGCAGTATCCCCCAGGAATGACCCAGTGTCCCCAGCCATGGCCCGGAGCAGAGACCCTGAGAAAGGTGACCATTCCAAAGAGGAGATGGCAGTGGCAGCAGATGCTGCAACCTTGGTGGATGGTAAAGGTGGGGCAGGGACTGGGCAGGCAGAGCTCTAGGTTGGGTTGCAAGGTTGGTGGTGGGTGGGGAGTAGAATAGCAACAGGCTGGAACTTGTCCTGGGTGGTGCTAAGCTGTGGTCTCAATGTAGAGCCCGAGTCCATGGTGAACCTGGCATTTGTCAAGAATGACTCGTATGAGAAGGGGCCGGACTCAGTGGTGGTGCACGTGTACGTGAAGGAAATCCGCAGGGACACCTCTCGAGTGCTTTTCCGCGAGCAGGACTTCACGCTTATCTTCCAGACCAGGTGGGTGGGTAGGCAGACACACGGGGCAGACAGTGTGCTTCCAGCAGGACAGTGTATCTTACACTCTTCCTCCTGCCCTGCCCCTGCTCTGCCTCTACAGGGACGGAAACTTCCTAAGACTGCACCCAGGCTGTGGGCCCCACACCATCTTCCGCTGGCAGGTGAAGCTCAGGTGGGTGGTGCCCGGCCCCACCACTGTTCCTGTCCCACCCTGGGTTCCATCTCCCTGGCCCGTCCAGCTAGATAACCCCTCCACCTAAGTTCCTGAGTTCAGCCTTTTCCTGCAGGAACCTGATTGAGCCAGAGCAGTGCACCTTCTGCTTCACAGCCTCTCGCATCGACATTTGCCTCCGTAAGCGGCAGAGTCAGCGCTGGGGGGGCCTGGAGGCCCCTGCTGCACGAGGTCTGCACACGAGCTCCCTTCATTGCCCAGTCTTCAAGACCAGGACCCCCATCCCCTGCCGCATGCTGCTAACCACCAGCCCCCTTGTTCCCCCTTTTTAAGGTGCAGTGGGTGGTGCAAAGGTTGCAGTGCCGACAGGTCCAACCCCTCTGGATTCAACCCCACCGGGAGGTGCCCCCCACCCCCTGACAGGCCAGGAAGAAGCCCGAGCAGTGGAGAAGGAAAAACCCAAGGCTCGATCTGAGGACACAGGCCTGGATGGTGTGGCAGCCCGCACCCCTGTGGAGCATGTAGCCCCAAAGCCAGAGCCACACCTGGCTTCGGTAAGAATCCTGTGGTAGGGAGGGCCAAGGATGAAGGCTGGAGAGCCTCAGGGCTGCTCTCTCACACCCCTCTTGCTCTCACAGCCCAAGCCTACGTGTATGGTGCCTCCAATGCCTCACAGCCCGGTGAGTGGAGACAGTGTGGAGGAAGAGGAGGAGGAAGAGAAGAAGGTGTGTCTGCCGGGCTTCACTGGCCTCGTCAATCTAGGCAACACCTGCTTCATGAACAGCGTCATTCAGTCTCTGTCCAACACTCGGGAGCTGCGGGATTTCTTCCACGGTGAGAGCAGGGCCTGGAGCCCTGGGGATGGGATACCTTCCCTTGCTCATACGTCTACTTGGTTGCTGTCCCTAGACCGCTCCTTTGAAGCTGAGATCAACTACAACAACCCACTGGGGACTGGTGGGCGTT